ATCTATCCCTTCTTGTCTTGTAACTTATCCATCTCAACCTCATCATCTACACTACACTCATTCTATAAGCATATTATTTTTTGTCCACTACACTCATCCCGTAGACACAATGCTTACAAAATTTGAATCCATCAATTTTAAGTGTAGGAATAAGAATCATCTTCATCAAGATTATCATTCATATGCTCCAATCTTTTATGCCATAAGTGAAATGAAACTTCCTCACCTTTAACCGCATAATTCACTTCATCATATATTATTGTGCTTTCCAACAACTTGTAGAAATTCCTAACTAAGACACTTTGAATCACAATTAGAGCCCATTTTTATACTTTGATTACTCCATCTTGACCGGTGAATTTGTAACCTTCTTAGTCTAGAGAAGAGAGGGAAATCAAACTATTTTTTAGTTTTGGCATATGCCTAGCATCTTTAATTGCTCGAATCGTTCTGTTAAATATTCGTAAGCGGACCGAACCCACTTCAACAGCTTTACTAGTTGAATTATTACTCATTGATACCGATCCTCCTGCACATGACTCATATGAGTTAAACTATGATTTATGTGGGTACCTGTTATGTGTGGCTTCACTGTCAAGTATCTAATTTTGATAGAATATAGAAAATTATGCCACCATTAATACTTTATCTTTAATGAATCTAGATGTTGACTCTCCAACTTGATTTGCTTTATAACTTGATTTGCTTTATTTTTATATTCACTTTGCCTTTCTTCTCTGACATTAGGATCTTTAAAAGAATTCACCCCTTTTCTTTTAAAACAATTCTTCCTTATATGACTCGGCTTCTTAAATACCAACACATATTTTTATCATTAGGCCCTCCGACACAAGATCTTTCGTCTTTGACTCTACCGAACTTCCCAAAGATGCTTTCTTTCAAAGTTCACAGGCAAGGAGAGTACTACGCATGGAGCTCAATTCAAAAGAATTTTCTTTAATACAACTCAAAGTAGTAATAAGGTTATGATAGGATTCTGCAATATACAAAGTAAGGTGACCGCCTTATCTTCATCATCTACTATCGCATCAATATTTTTAAATTGACAAACGATATTATTAATTTTATTCAAGTGTTTCGACACTTTTGAACCATCTTTCATTTTCTTTTGAAGAAAATTAAATTTGTAAAAGATTTTGTTTTGATAAAAACTCTCAAATTTTCCCACAAATCTTTTGCCTTACTTTCCCTAACAATATTAAACAACACTTCATTCACCTTAATACGTGCCTTCATATCAAGTTCATCTCAATCATTATCAGTCGTATTTACTAATTTCTTTTTTTTTTCTAAGCAATGCATTGTGTTGCTCTTAACGTACTAATAAATCTTGCATTTTAAATTTTCAAATTTCAAAATCATCTTTCCATTAAACTTCTCGACCTCAAAACATGTGAGTTGCCATTTTTCAAAAATACTACACCGCTTCCTTGAGCTTTGATACCACTAGTTGGCAGATCGAGATAACCCAAATCTCTACTTAATGTAGTAAGTACCCTACAACAATGAACCCAACACCCAAACAAAATACCCAAAAAAAATAATATGTGTAATATATTTGAAAAAAAAAATAAAATAAAATAAAAATAAAATGAGAAATCACCAAATCACAATGCAAGTAAAAATAAAAGGCACACACAAATTTACATGGTTTACGCCAAAATGGACTACACTCATGAGCAAGGGGCAATGATCTATTACTTATCAATGAAAAAAATATACAAGTTGAGATTTTGTAAAGATTACCTCATAAAAAGACAAAGAAGGTTCAAATAGATATCTTTTACCACAATATCATCATTAATCAACTCATCTCTTCATCATTGTCAACCAAGACCATTGTCGTGAAGAAATGCCGATGAAAATGCATCCTATACGAGGCCACAATTATGCTATGATTTGTGCAAAAACCCCAATTTCAAACTTCTCTACATTTTCTTGATGCATCTTTTCTCTATCTCCAAAAATGCACTTTTACGGGTGATGAAAACATCCACCATGAAAAGATGAAATTTCAAGGTGGTTTGCATCACTGTCCCAGCAAGGACCAAACTAGAACTCGGTTGAGAGAGAGAGAGAGGTCCCACCATGGCATGACAAAGCCCTTTCCAACGCGGTACAATTTGGAAAAGGTGTGTTAAGAGTGACCTACATTTGGATAAGGCCAAGTATAGGATAAAGCATACATTGAACTTCTAAGATGTTACAAATGGTGAAATTAATATGGAATGGTAGTTTGAGATCATGGGAGATAACAAAGAGAGAATTTAAACCGATAGGAAATGAAAACATTTGTAAGTCCCATTTACAAAAGTAAAAAATACTCCCTCTATTAAATCTTGATATAAGATTAGGTTTAGTATCTCAAATGTTTGGGGGTGTATCTTTTCGACTTAGGAAACAAAATTTCACACTAATCTCTATGAGTTGGAAGATTTATCATACTAAATTTGAACGTAGACCTCCTAATTATTGGACATCTAGATCTAAGTATTAAAAAACTCAAAATCAAAACTTTTTTTAAAAAAAATATTCAACTAGTGATTTTTAAGTGGATTCTAAAATTTTAGATTTAAAAAGCCCTTCAATGTTGGATAACATGCTCATACGGGAGCATATATAGAAGGCAAATGTTGGATAACATGCTCATGCGGGAGCATATACAGAAGGCAGTGTAACTGATACCTGCCACGTCCAAGTCAAAGTCATCCTTAAAAAAAAAGTGGAAGCAAAAGAAACAAAAAAACATTAAAAAAGTTCAAAAATCAAAGTTTAATTTTCTTTCATCTAATAAGAGGTAGAGAAAACAGTAAAAATAAAAAATACTTTGAGAATAAAAGGCGGAAAATATGTAAAGACAAAACAATCAAAATTGCAGATTATTTGTTTTGATTCATAAAAATTATTGGGGGATCTGCAGATCAGTATAATAAGCACACATTAGGACAAATTTGATCAAATTTGGTAAAAAAAATATGAAAAATCAAAGATTTTCATTTACTCTTATTTTCTTCTCTTTTGATTTAAATTCGACAAATTTTGTATAGGGATCTTTCAGAGGATTCTAATACCAACACTTCAAATTAAAGTTTTGATGTTTGTGGAGAAACGAAAGAGAGGGTTCTAATACAAACCCTTGGAATCAAATTTAAGATGATTTTGTTGAGTAATGAGAGAGAGAGAGATTGCAAGGAAGGCAGATTTGGCATTCAGGTTAAAAAATGAGATTTTTTATTTTTTTTGTAAATAATCTTGCCAAGTGCAACTTCTTACCAAAAGCATGATTTTTTAGAGATAAAATGGATCCATTTGGCTCCAAATTGATCAAATGGGCCTTGAATGTGGATTAAAGGTTGCAAAAATCAGAAAAAAAAATAAAAACTATTCTTCTATTTTTTTTCATGTGAAAAGAAATGTTACTCAAGAGTCTGAGTGTTACTCAGAGTCGATTCGGGAATCCCTAGGTCAACTCAGTGATATCAAAACCGTTATAGGAGCCATTAACACAATATGTCTTTCTTGTGTTTAAGGCCCCATTTGATCCCTTGGAAATGGGTATCCTATCCTGGAATGGATATATCATGAAATTAACATCTCATAGATTATATATGTTTACTGAAAGATGCATGTCCACTATTTGGATTTTTTTGAAAATGTGCCTCTTGAGAATTATATAATACAATAACACATTAATATTATATATGTATTATAACAATTAACATTCTAAAAAAAAGTATTATATATCTATTACAAATTACAATTTATTTGTAGATAGTTATATAAAACTTATTATAATTATTTTAATCATATGTGATTATTATAATTATTATATAATTAACGTGAATTATATTAATTATTATATATTAACTATTATAATTATTACAGCTCCTGGATTTGAGGTTCTTTTTTTTAGAGGGGACCACAACCCGCTCTATTAAATACAACTGACCACAAGTTTTTGGACCCGTGGCTTTCTTTCAATCTCCCACAACATTCAATACCATCAATTTTGGTGGAATTGAAATTTTTACAAAAAGACTTAAAACATGAAAATTTGTCTCCATGCAGAAATAGAACTCTACCTTTTAGAGCATCCAAAATTCCTAACAAAATTTATGAGCTGTTTTTATGGAAATGAGTCTCTCAAATAGAAGGAGCATGGTTGACCTAATTTATTCTAGAAACTCATTAAAATCCCAAAAATATTCAAGGCATTTTAGGGCTTGGTCTTTAAGTTAGAAATTGGCTTCCAAGATAGATAAAATATCCCTCCTCCAACATTTAGGGTGTGTTTGACACATGAAGTTTTTGGGAGTGAAAGGGACTTTTTCACAAATTATGAAGAACCGCTCTTTTATCATTTTTTATAAATTGACTTCCAAGATAGATCAAATATCGCTCCACCAACATTAGGGTGTGTTTGACACATGAAGTTTTTGTGGGTGGAAGGGACTTTCCGACAAATTATGAAAAACCGCTTTTTTATCATTTTTTATTGAAAAGAGGCCTTCCAAAAATGAACTCATTATAACATTAAAAAAAAAGGTGTAGTTTGTATAAGGTTGCAACCTTAAACAATCCAATTAAGGCATACCTCCAAATTTTATCATAACATGCAATTTTGTTGTGAAAAATTCTTAGGATTATCTTAAAATCTATTTTCATATCTAATTAGAAGATTTTTAAACTCCAAAAATAGTTAGATCTATAAACATATAAAAATCTTGAAAATGGATGGCCTAGATAATGTGTTGCAAGATGCACTATTACTGATACTAAAAAACTTTTTTTTTTATATCCATACATCTCGATGTCGAGATGATCAAATAGAGGGTTTTTCAACATTAAAACAATATTTCCAATAGATTTTTGAGGTGCATATGTAATTCTACATTTTAAGGTTGCAACCTTCCATAAACTTTTTCCTTTAAAAAAAAGCTATATGAAAAGTGGTCCTTCCGCTTATAAAAAAAAAAAAAACCATAAGTTTCAATGAAATGGGTAACATCAACGAGTTGCAAAACTTCCGCAACACAAAATGACAAACATTATGACTTCCAAGAAACTCACAAGGGTAAATTAGTCATTTCTCACCAACCCAAGTCATAGACCGAGCGATGGGTGGGCTGGAAGCCCGCGTGATATAAAGGGGTAAATTAGTCATTTTCCACCAACTGATGGCGTAGACTGAGCAAGCAAACAGAGGCGAGGTCCACACGATCTCTCTGACTGCAAGCCTTTTTGTCTCCAACTCTTCAACGTTTAAAAGCGCTTCAAAATCGAATCGAACTTTACTCTGAATTTTGCAAAAATAAAGGCCCTTCAAAATCCAGAAAAATGGTTTTGACCGGGATTTCGCAGGAATGGCCGCCGGAATTTATCTGCCCCATCTCGAAATCCCCCATGGCGGAACCTGTAATCCTCTCTTCAGGCCATTCTTGTGAGAGAAACTGCGCCATTGCTTGGCTCAAAGATGGCCGGAATCTTTGCCCGGCCACCTCGAAACGCCTCAAGAACCACCGTGATGACATTGACTCCCTTCTCCCCAATCTCGCTCTAGAGTCAGCCATAGCTCGATTTTGTACGCTTCATCATATTCCAAACCCTGGGCCCCCTTCTAGGGAAGAAGCTCGAGTTTTGGTCCAAAAAATGGCGGATTCCACTTCTCCTGCAGTCCAGCCGAGGCTCTTTCACTCTGCCGCGAATTTGCAGAGCAAATCATCGAAAATAATGATGCTTTTGGGGGTTCAGGGGTTTTCTGTGGCCGGAAAACCAGAAAACAGAGATCGATTCAGTCCAAATATGGTTTTTGGAAGGTTCAATGGCGCCAATTCCTGTCAAAATAGGCGGGATCTTGGTTTGGAGCCGGGGTTTTCAGGTGAGATTTCAAGTCGAAATAGTCAGGATCTTGATTTGGAGTATGCATCCAGGTTTTCCCAAGAGAATTTTGATTGGAAACATGCTTCCACGTCTGAAACCAGATGTGACGGCGAGTTTTCTAGCTGCGGAGGGCTGGCTCCCACCTCGAAGTCTGATTTTTCAGGTGAGAATTCCAGGCAAAACTTGGGACGTTTTGCGTCGGAGTTTGGGTCCAAGCTTTCCCTCAAAGTCTCAGGCCGGAATCGGCCTGATCTAACATCGAAATCCACATCTTCTGGTGGGAATTCAAGCAAAAAAAGGCCATCAATTTCGAGCGAGATTTCCATTGAAAATTCGCAGGATCTCGCCTCTGAATTCATTTCTCGACTCTCAAGCAACGACGAGGAGGAGCTGAGGTCTGCGATATCGGAGATTCATGAGCTCACACGCACTAGCCCGGAGAGCCGGCTGGAACTTGCGTCGGACCCTGATCTCATCTCCCACATAATCACCATACTGAGCTTCTCCAATTCATCAACCATTCAATCTGAAGCCACCGCTGCACTATCGAACATGTCTCTCGAGACCGTCAATAAGGTACGCTTGGTGCGGGAAGGCGTATTGGCTCCGCTCGTGGATGTGCTGTCGCACGGCTCCTCTGCCGCTCGTGGCCATGCTGCAGCCGCCATTTTCAGCCTTTCAATAGCGGAGGAAAACCGCATTGTGGCCGCTGTGCTCGGTGCTATACCTCCACTCTCTCAGATGCTGATCTCGAACGGCCATTCAGCTTCCGAAGCTGCAGCCGCTTTGTATTATCTTTCGCTCGAGCGTGCAAACTGCGGCCGCATAATCCATGGCGGTGCAGTAGCTGCACTGTTGCACGCCGCAGCGTCATCGCGAGGTGGCGTCGCAGCACGGAGCTTAGCAGCACTATGCAATGTTGCAGCCGCTGGCGACGAGGGGCGGGCAGCAGTGGCGGATGGAGGCGGCATCTCCACAGCAATTGGAGTTGTGGGGTGTGGTCAAGAAGAGGAGGAACACGCAGTGGCTTTGCTCTTGCTTCTGTCGAGGACGAATTCTTCGAGGTTTTGGGGGGAGGTGAAGCAGGGGATGCCTGCGATCGCGAGAGTGGCAGCGAGGGGAAGAGGAAGAGCAAGAGAAAAGGCTGCGGCATTGATGAGAGTCGTGAAGGAGGCGCAGGCGGCGGCGGAGGACGGGCCGGATGGTGGTGGTGGAAGGGGGCTCGAGTGGCGGAGGGCGTTTAGAGGGGAGGGAGCCCATTGCTCGGAATGGCCAAATACCGCAGGCTTCTAGTCTTTTTACAGTAGTAAGCTTGGTGAATGTAAATTTAGAAGAGAGAGATGCGACACTTCATGACTTGTAATGCTTGCTGCCATATTAATATACCATTTATCATCATACTTTTGATTTTTTCTACTTTTTAAATTGGTACAATTGAATGAGTACCGATAATAAAAAATATATATATGAAATGAGTCGATATCGGGTTAAAATTATGGGGAAAGTCGGTTAATCTGATTTTTTTTTTTATCAAAATTTTCTCTCTATATGAAGATAGACAGAATTTTAGTTCTTACTTCTTCTTCTTTTTTTAATTTTTTTTCAATAGTAGAGTTGTGTCCTAGTGTTTCAGGCGGTAGGTCCGTTTTACCTAAAATTGGTCCATTTGTATTTTCCTTTTTATTTTTTTATCCGTACATAAATTACTCGCATTTGTATTCTTGTGTTCTTTGGCAAGCGTGGAATTAGGCTTGGCCATTGATAATAACACCACACCTATTTTATATTATAGAAGGCGCACCTCTAAAATTTGATTGGAGATCGAGTTTCGGTGTCATGTCATTGAGGCATGAAAATTTACTTACAAGTTATGAATTTAAAATTTAAGAAATGGTAGAGGTCCAAACAAATTTATAAATATTTAAAATTCTTGAAAATTTGTCTTACAAGATGCACTACTTTTAGGTATTGAATTCTTTTCTTTCTCATATTCACACATCTTGAAGTCAAGATGAACGATTAAAAGATTCTTCAACTTACGAACACTCTCTTCTAAAGAATTTTCAACACTTCAATAGTATAAGGTTGCAACCTTTTATATATGGGTGCAGTTTGTATAGAGCCTAGGCTCTAAACAATCAAATTAAAACCTACGTTCAAATAGTGTCGAAAAATGGGGCTTCAATATTGAGAATCTTTGTGATAGCCTTAAAATATATTTTTAGATTTATTGATAAAGTTTAAAGCTTCAATAATAGTGTAAATCGACAGATCTATGAAAACCTGAAAATCTTGAAAATTGACTGTCTAAAAATGCATTACAAAATATATTATTTTCAAAACTTGAAATCCATTTTTTTCTCATGTCCATGCATGTTGATGTGGAGATGATCAATTTGAGGATATTTGGGCATCAAAACAATATCTTCTAGTAAATAATTTTAATTATGCTCTAATTTGATTGTTTAAAGCCTATGCTCTATGTAAACTTTTCTCTTTATATTTTTTTTCATCTACTTTCAGCACTAAACTAAAAAAAAAATGTGTGGTTTGTACGAGATTGAGGCTTTAAACAATCAAAGTAAAGCACAATTTTAAATAGTGTTGAAAGATTCCATTTAGTACTGAAAATTTATTTTCATCTCTAATTATAGAATTTAAAACTTCAAAAATAGAATAGATCAAACATCTCAATAAACATTTGAAAAACTTCAAAATTAAATGTCTAAATAATGCATTACAAGATATACTATTTCCATGACTTGACGTCTTTTTTTTTTATGCCCTTGTATCTCAAGGTTTACGTGACAGGGTGCGAGGGTTTTTCAACATTGAAACTTCTTTTAATGAATTTTTGAATTGTCTTTTTTTTTCTTTTCTTTTTTTAACTTTACCAAATAATTTGTATTAGAAGAAATTTTTTTGACATGTGTCTTAGTTTGATATTTAGGGTCTCAATCTTATACAACCTTTTTTTCGGAAAGAGTCACGGACTATTATGAAGGAACAGTTTGTAGGGTGGGTCGTCCATGGTTACGAAGGGACACTGTGTTCTTGTCGTTGTCACGCATTATTGTAGTACGATGCGAACCAACAGTTGTAAGCCGCTGTGATTAGTCTGATCCAGTGATTTAAAAAGTGCTGGGTGATCAGGGAATCAGTCACTTGTGCCGATTGTGTTAATAGATAGTAGATCGTTCGAGTCTAAAACAGAACTGGCGATTTGCTTTAGTAAAACAGCGCTTTGTTATAGTAAAAATGTCGTTTTGCTACAACAAAACTCTGATTCATAGCAGGCCGGTTCACTGTTTTCATATGTGTTTTTTTGCCGGTTCATTATTTTTTCCACACAATAAAATGGTGATCTGGACCACCAATTCATCGATCCAAACTGATTTTTATGATGCCTGATCCTAATCACCAATCCATTTTTTAAAGCGAAATTATCTTATAGGACTTTTCTCCACCCATATGTGTAGGACCCCAAATGATCACCATTAAATTTGACACCGATCTATAGAAAAATCAAATCCAACACCTATATGATAATTTTTTTAGAAATCCGTGCCAACTTTAATGATGATCTTTTGAAGTCCTACACAAAGTGGGGGAAGATCCTATCGGATCGTTACTCTTCTTAAATCACTGGTTTGATTGCTTACAAACTTTTGGAAACAAAAAAAGAAAAGATATGGCACTTGGGTTCATATTTAGAAAATAGTAGCACCATGGAAAAATAGATCTGGGCCAATTAGATAATGAAAATACTAAAAATAAAAAATTTTAGAAATAATGAAAAATACTTTTATTTCTTTGCATCAACTGAAGAAGCCGAAGCTTAGGCCCGAAGTCGACCGAAGCGGCAGCACCAAGCTTCACTTCGCTTTGCTTCAGTTTAGCCTAAAATTCAATGGCTTCCGTCAAAGCGAAGTAAATCTAACAACATGGGCTAAGACTTTACAAAAAAAAATAAGCCTCACCTCAAAACTCACTAAAAATTACAGGTCCAATGTCAGAAAACTTTCAAATCAATCATCTCGACCTTGATCATTATGGTTGAAAAATAATAATCATAATAATTTCAAGCCCTAAAAATAAAGTATGTTATAACGAAGTATCTAGATCCTTTATTTTCAAGTGTTCATATATCCACAAGATTTGTATTATTTTTTAGTTACAAATTTCATAATTAGTGTTGAATAAATATCAAGGTGAAGCAGTACTTTCTTCTTTTCTTTTTTTTCCTTTTCTTTTTTTTCTTAAGGCCTACGCCTTATTAGAAAATGCATCTTTTCAAAAATTTGGACTTAGAAAATTTTTGGTTGATAATGCAAGTAATCAAATATTGATAATATCATTTTTTAGTTTTAAACAATAAAAGGTCATTTCGATAATGCAAGTAATCAAATATTGAAAATATCATTTTTTAGTTTTAATCAATAAAAGTCATTTCATGAACTACAAGTTTTGAAGGCTAAAGTTGTACAGTATGAAAACCAAGCCCTGCAATATGTCTTTGGAATTAATAGAAAAGCAAAATTCGCAGTGGCAGATAAATAATGTCTTTGGAAGATCATACATGCCAGAGTGAGAGAAGTAAAGGTATAATTATCAAGATCTGACCGCCGAGTCAAATCTGTCGGACCACTCATTGAAGCTTCGATCGGTTAAATTTAAACACCAAATCTAATAAAAAAATCGGTCAAAATCAATGTTTAACTAATTTTAACTTGTCAGAAGAGCTACTTTTAAACAAAGTTAGAACATTTATTTTGTAATGTATTTTATGTTTGGGTGAGGCTAGTATAAGACACCCTCAGAAATAAAATCTTGCAACTTAAAGATAAATAGGATTACTTATTGGAAAAGTGTTTGGTGAGTCGGTTGATTCACACTCTTCTTGTGCGATCTCCCTGCAAATATATCCCAAAGATGTATTTTCGATACAAAATAATCTCAACCATGACAATGATCTAAATTTGGAATTTCTCTTTTTTAAAAAAACATAAATGCTATTTTTTTTTTTTTACTATCCATTTTAACTTTTAGCGGATGTAACATTTTTTTACATCCATCTTAGAGATGGACGTCAAATAGACAAAAGATTGCACAATAATAGGTGACTCGGATAACTCCTTATTTATTTTATCATAGTTCAACATTTTTCATTCTTTCACTCAAAAATCCATCTGAAAATGTCGTTTTAATGTTAAAAAAAGCTTTAATTGATCGCTCGACATCAAGATGTATGACCATGAAATAAAAAATATTTTAAGTCTAAAAAATAGTGCATTTTACAACATATTATCTACACCGTCCATTTTCAATATTTTCATATGTTTATAGATCTACTTGATTTTAACTATTTTTTAAATTTAAAATTTTATAATTAGATATAAAAATAGATTTTGAGATAATTCTAAAAACATTTTACATCCAAATTATATACCATGATAAAATTTAAAAGTGCACCTTACCTCTACACCTACGGATGCATCCGTATGCCAACTACACCCTTATAAATAGCATCAACTTTGATACCAGTTATACATTGTAAGTGTCCTACTGCAGCGTAAATAACAAACAAAATATACCTAGAGGAGACCGCATGTTATGCTCCTCTTTACCGATCTGATTTCCTTAGGACTTCCTTTTCCGAGTACCATAACTATAAGGATTGTACACCACCTACACCACCAATTCCAACCCAAGATAGATGGCTCAAGAGTTATGGTATGGGTGAGTGAGAGACAGGTTAGGCATAGGACACACTGTGCTTGTAGGCTAGGGGCGGCAATGGGTCAGGTGGCCCAGCCCTAAAACTCTAGGGCTTAGGCCACATGATGTGGCCAGAGTGCTGGTCGGGCCCGGCCCGGTGCTACTTTCTTAGTTTTCTCCTTTTAACTTTTTATGTGATTTTATTTAGCATGGCACGGCCCGCCCGAGTAGGCCCTCATAGGGCCAGCTTCTTGGCCACTAGGGCCACGCCAGGGCCGGCCCCGCCCTATAGCAGGTCACATTCGTAATTAAGAACCTATGAAGAAACCCAAAACTCTCAATGACGAAAATTTTGATTTATGCCATTTATTAGAACTTTGTGAGGAAAATTTCAATTTAAACCATTTATTAGAATTTTCTTTTAATATGATTTGACTGCATCTAGACAATTGATCTTAAGACAAATCTGAGATACTCTCAGAATATTTTAGGCCGCACAGATCTCCTTGATTAGTGCTATGGTTGTGGGTCCAAATGTATAATTTGCAAGTAGTCGTTATTGGACAATAGAGAAACGATTGGTGCAGCAAAAAATTAGGGCAATAATTGAGTATCATAGTATAATACATCCATGCTTCTAAAAACCATGTTTGAGGTATTTGTATGACCCCAAATTTTGCACACATACTCTTTTCATCCTCACAATCAATCCTACAAAAAACAAAATTCAATTTACACCCTAGGCATGGTCAAAATTAGTACCCTCCAACAATGAATCTCAACCGTCCATTTGGTGAATTTCAAGATCTAAGTGTTTACAAATTCAAAATCTTTTTTTCTTTTTTTTTTACCATTGTTAATCTAATGATGATAATGCTATATACAAATTTTGAGAATAAAAAAAATCCTTCTGAAGCCTATATCTAACCATCTCATTAAAATGTACGGCTTATATTAATTGGGCTAAAAAACACTTTTTAAAACATTTTTTCAAAAGTTTCTTTTTCAATGATTGTTTATTAGAGTGAAAAGAGTGTATATTTCAAATTTTGGATCAAAAAGATAGTTCTAACATAGTTTTTTTAAATTATTGCATCATATTGATGCCTCATCATCCATCCATATTTAAGATGAATTCCCGAAAATCGGGTCATTCTCCTCTTAAAGTCCAAGATCAAGATCCTAATGATCTTGGAGGAAGCAGGCTTGGATCAAGGCAGCAGTAATCGGGTTATCATAGCACTATGTCGTAAGTTCCATTCCATGTAATATTTTCAAAAAAATTAAAATAAAATCAAGATCCTAATGAGAGAAAAAAATATCTCTAAAATAGTCTAATCATTCTAAAAATGATGAGTCGGGTATATCAATTAATTTACGCAAAGGTCGTAGAACCGAAATCATTTCACATACGTACCACTTTAGTATTATGCTAAAAATGTCCAAAGTGCCCTTGTTCTAGTGATCAAAATGTAATTAAAATTAGGAAAAAAATTATATAGAGACGAAACTCTAAACAATTAAATTAAAACCCACCTTAAAAATTTCACTAAAACAGTTCCATTTTGAAAGCAGTTCTATTTTGGAGGTGCATGTTACTTTGATTGCTTAAAGCAGTTCTATACGAACCGCACCCTCAAAATTATTTTATTTTACTTACATTTTTTACCTCTTAAATTCGTAGGTCACGTGACCCAAATAACCATGCTTGTTCCAAATTCCGAATCTGGAACATACTCTTTCATTAAAAGTTTTAATTTTTGCTATAGATTTCAAATCTTCATTTAGAATCTTATACAAACAAGGTAGTTTACATCATTTGACTTGAATGAGTTGAGTTACAAAAATGCCCCTTCTTGTTCATGATTCCAAACCTCCAACAAGAATTTTTATTAGGAATTCTATGTTTTAAGTTTGAAACCCCAAACAAGTATAGACATTTCAGTCATATGACTAAAAGAATTTAAGTGGGTCAAATTACCAAATTTCCCGTACTTTACCAACCTAAAACAAGAACAGGTATTCGTAAACAAATCATTGACAAATAAATAAATTTTTAAGAAGTCATCACCTTGATAGTATGAATGCTGATTTAACCACCTTTCAGTCATATGACTAAAATAATTTAAGTCAAATTACCAAATATCCCATACTTTACAAACCTGAAACAAGAACAGGTATTCATAAACAAATCACTGACAAATACATGAACTTTAAAGAAGTCATCACCTTGATGATATGAATGCTGATTTAACCACCTTTTTTATTTCTTGGGGTCAAAATGCCATCTCAAAAGGTCGTTGAAATTCGAAATAGTGTTTTTCAGTGGCCCCTATATCAGTCTGCAATGTTTCAATGTTTCTGGAGCACAAAATTATGTTTTCTAGGGTGGAAATGAATTTGCAAGAGCTTAGAAGGTGATTTTGCATGGGGCAGGTTCCACGCCCTTAACACAAAGACAATACCAATAAATTAATCCGACTCAAAGTTAATCACAAAAGGCTCTCCCTCAAACAAGAAAACCCATAGTAGAAATTTGGCGCGCAAGCTTTTAACCAACAACTAAGAAATTAAAATGACAGAGGTGCGGAACATAGGAATTCTTTCACCACCCAGTTATAGTACAAACATAACCAGTAGCAATAATGGATGGATTGAGTCTTGTAGGTCCCTTCTCTCATTTCTGTAGGAACATACAACTGAGTCCATCCCTTTAATTAGCATCAACAACCTGCTCACACACGCACACGCACACGCATTTCCTGTACATTTTCCATGCACTAAAACTAAAATCGGGTATTAAGAATTTCCTTTTATTACTCTCTCTCTCTCTCTCTTTCACACACACACACACAGGTCTAACGTCAGGTGATCAATCCAGCAGATAAAAGCACTCAAAAGCAACATTGCTCCAACAACTGAAAAAGAGTTCCTTTGGGTCAAACAAGCTACAACATGTTTCTCATCAACTGAGATGAAAAAAAGACGAAGAGAGTCTACATGCTGAAACTGAAAATAAGAGCACAATATAAATAAATTTGTTAAGGAGAAAAGGACGAAAAAATAACCTGTTGATGATATGTTACATTCTAGCAAACAAATGAAAGCAACTATATACCTTACATGATGAAATTTAGAGAGAGAGAGAGAATGAAGGAAAGTAAACAAAAATCTCATGTACTCACCTGCACACCTCCCATGAGAAAATATCAAAGGCTCAAACCAGTTGTGCTCAAAACCAGTGTTCGCGACACTCTGGCGATAACCCATTTCCTCTGAAATGATAGCTGTTTGTGAAAGCAATTATTAACCAGTTGGGGGCCTTAAAACCCTCCAATCCAGCCTTCCATTTTTTTGTTGGTTAGGATCTTTCCTGTTGTTCATTGAAGAATCCCCATTATCTTTAACTACACGATTCTTCTTGGATGACTGGTGCGAATTTTCTGCACTCACTTCTATTTTGTGCTTCTTTCGCTGAGGATCATGATTGATACCCACTTTGGCAGCAGATGAATCCTCATGTTTTGACTGTGATTCCCCCATATCTCTGGAATAAACATTTAAGCAGAATTATCTTGGTTGCTAAAAATAGGTCAGAGAAGGAATTTCCATTTATTGGTCCATTTAGGACTCATGGCCAAAAGAGTAACAACAGTTTCATTGAAGGATATGGTTGGAGAGCTGGTAAAAAAGGCAGTGTAAAAAATAAAACTCTCTTCCTTCCTCCCTCCCTCCCTCCCTAGCAATGGGAAATAATAACTACTCTCTCTCTCTCTCTCTCTCTCTCTCTCTCTCTCTCTCTCAGACACACACTAGCCACATGAGTTTTGTCCCCCCTCCATGCAATTAGAGAGAGTGAGAGAGGTGGTTGGGAATTAAATCCAGGTGGATGCTTGAAAAATTTCCCAAATCAATATGCCACTGCAACTGAAGCATTATCATTTCCTTAACAAAGAAAAAGAGAAAAAAGGACCCAAAAGAGACCCACCTGTTAGAATTCAACCCACTATTATTAGGTGGGTTTTCTGTAGACACCTGGGGCTGGCGAGCACACTCTGCTTCTTCATTTATTTTCTAATAACATGGACATGACACAAGGGAGCAAGGGAAGAATAGTAAAGGATTTATAAAAAAAAAATTCATGCCTATAGCAGTGTATTGGTACTCATACTCACATCGACAGACGGATTGAAGCTCTGGAATGACATCCGACCTTTCAATGCTCCAGGGTGTGGATCGCCTTCCATTATCACTATGCTGCAAAAGTTCATCATAACCATATAATTTGCTTTAGACATGATTTTTCTCTTGTTGTGTGTGTGTGTGAGAGAGAGAGAGAGAACCACAAATTTTCGATATATGACCAAGAGAAGTATTTAATAGTTTAGAAACCATGCCTGAGCCTTTGTATCAATGTGCATACTTCACAAAGCCTGTATATACTACCAAAGTCCCCTCTCCATTACAGAGGGTGATAAAAGTAAAGTTAATCCCTCCAATTATCGAAGTTTGGGAATGAAATCCTTGAACTCTCCATAAGATCTCCCTTAATAGCCTCCCAGTTTTGGAATAACATCCTGTTGCCCTTCCAGATAAGGGACCCTGCCCTTAGACATATGGGAATCGACTATTTTCACTTCCAAAAAAGTTACAATCCATTCTTCTTCCAATGCATATCAACCAAAAGGCAAAATGGACTTCCAAACTTCATTGAGTCGGTATAATCCTTGAAAGGAATCACTCATTGCCCCATTTATCATCAATGTCAATAAAGGTCACTTGGTCCACACTGATTAACTGATTTTCTACTTCAATGCTAATTCACCTAGGGATGGAACAAATCAATTACCACATTGATTTTCTTTAAGCTATGGTGTTCTAGATTTTCTGTGTCCAACTAATTTCTTCCCTATGTTCTGAGGTCCTCATATGGGAACTGAAGTGTGAGGCAGCTATCCTCAACATCCAAGACCAGTCCCCACTCTTTGCTTCACTTGGATCTCTTATTTACATTAAGATGGGCCTCATCTTGTGCGCAATCTCTCGAATCAATATTTCAGGTACAGGAAACTAGTGACTAAACATTGTTTTTGGAAAACACAAAAAATGCAATGTTAAGTTAATAAACTGCAAATTAAAACGCGATCCTTTAGAACCAAACAAAGATGAACACATATTTCAGACATACAAATTTAAATGTAATTTGAATAAGCAGAGAACTATGAGATATATAATACGTGTTCTGATTTCTTTCTGTAGATAAATGTATAAAATAATTGTAATGCATACCATGCATAAATAGCTAGCATACATGCTTTAGTATAAAATTTTATAAGATGTATGATTATATCTTTTAAGTAAGTCATTATGGTGCTCAAATGACCTCCTAAACCCCTTATGGACCTAATATACAGCAAACCACTTTTAGATTCGAACATTGCACTAAAAAGGGACATAATCATAATTTTGATAGAGCAGTAAGACTAGATCACATGTATTAACCCTTGCATAGAGTCAATCAAGAACATATGCATGCCATTGGACAAGTCTAATCAGTCTATGACTCAACCAAATAGAGAATCAAAACCACTTGAAAGACTCGATTGAGCAGTAAACCTCTGATATACACCACCATGGCTTCCCCTCCTGCTCTTGGTTTTGTCTTTTTCCCAATAAATTCACATCTGATAACAAATCCTTCCATCTAACCTTCCTTCTCATCGTATAAGAGCAAAAAGGTCAAAGACCTCATACACTGATTTTTTCTATGTGACCTACAACACAGTGAACTCAAAACCAGACAACGAAGTTTTGATATATGGGGACCAACTTAACGCAAACAGGATGCAAACAAACAAAAAAAGATCCTTGAAAAGAATTGAGTACAATCTTATCATTGAAGCCTAAAAAACACATTCTACCCCACTAAGATGCAAAACTACAAGATGTTTGGTGAGTGGATGCTCTCCCTCCACAAGAAGAGGGAAGAATTCATCAGGTTAAAATAGACCTAGTCAGACATAGAATAACATAAGCAACTGATATAACGTGCTATAGAAGGCACCTTGATCCTACAAGATCATCCAACTTCTCCTCATAGGAACCCGGGGCAATGTCTTCAAATCCATCACCATGGGTTCCGAGACATGGATAGATTGACGGGTACTCTCCTTTACTGTATCAGAACCAACAGCAATATCCACCAACCCTTGGCTAATTCTCTCAACTCCGCTATGTAAGCATTAATTAAATACATTCCTCCCGTTAGAGAAATCGTACAAGCTAGCAAATTAACTGTCTCCATGACCAAGATATTGTCAAGGAGCAGATTAAAGCACCATTCTCCCTAAGCTCTTCAACTAAGGTACTGGTATAATACTCAAAGCCTCATCTACAATAAGAAAAGTACTAAAATCTTCAGCTAATTGCACTTTATTTAGAATCATGGCTTTTGCCTGATTATTTTTTTTATAGCATTGCTAGAAACGTCCCAACATAACAAAGAGCAGCCACAAACTTTATTTACATATCAGATAAAATAATGCAATACTGAGATATGCATTATAGCATACGCCTGGTGATGAAAAACATGCCATGCATTCTTTAACAAGATCATTTATAGCAAGAAAGTAGATCCCTATGTACATAGACTTGATATGTTAGTAGAATTGAGTTCAATCATTTCCCATCATTTTGTATCAAAAGAATGGGACTTAATACATTTTGATAATATAAGTATCAGAGTAGTATGGCAATCAAGGTAGGGTTAAGCAGGTGCATCACCAACATTAATGTCTTTCTAGTTCATTTAGTATAAAAGTTGCACAGTTGCAAGATCTTCCCAAAATGAAATGATAGGGGAAATAAATGCTGAATGAATGAGCCACAAGACTGAAAATTTTAGAATACGAGAAACTAGGGAAGTGATACATCAACAAACAAGTGAAAATGGTAGTATTCATTCAGGAAAAATTGCTTGGTGCGCTAGTCCTTTGGCAAAATATCTAAAGATTGTCTGGCATAACATATCACATTGTTCCTTTTCTTAAACAATTCAATCCTCCAAAGTTTTGGACATCTACAAACCCTCACCCACAATCCAGCTTGCACATTCATTTTACTATGTCCTTTATTAAAAGATTCAAAATCTCAAGCGTCCATCAAAAAACCTGTTCATATGAAGGATGTATTTCAAGTAACTAAATTATTCTAGGAATACAAATTTCATAAACAGGGCACACTTTTCATCAAGATAGACTTACGAAAGTAAGATTCCCCCACACTTGCAACTACTCATAATATCTATCATTAGGAATGTCACTGGATGAATCAGAAACATGTTGCCTTCCTAAATAATAATCAATAGACATACATTTTCCCTAAGACAATATATGTCTAGGAGAATGTGTGTATTCAAGAAAGTAATACCAAGATAAACAAAAAGAATAAAGTTAGGGAAAATACAGATTAGCTAGTCCGACCACTCGATATAGCACATAAGTTCAAAGGTGTCCTAATACTGACTAATTGCATCGACACAGTAGTTTCCACTGTTATCTTTGTTAACTCATTTTCTTCCTTCTAATCAAGTCATCTCTGTTTCTTCTTTATCACTTTCTTTATATTTTCTTCGATGCTTATGAACAGATTTTATTAATATCAAATAGAGTATCATCTGCACTTTTTACTTTTGGGGTTTCAAAGGAGAAGCACTCATTTCTTCACCAGTGATGTCAAGGAAAACTCCCAACAAATCAACATTGAAAAAAATTGAGCAGTCAGAATAATTAAATTTCTTGAAAGAGTACTCTTAAAAATAATACAAAACAAAAAAAAATACCATTTTCTGCTTTGAGCAGTCGACCTAACGGAATGTTCCTCTACTTTCACATCTTCTTCTTTCTTAGTCTGCTCCTCTTTCTGAATTGCTCGTTGCATAAACTAATTTCAAAAGAATGTCAATACCAAGATCACTTCAAATATTAACTAGAAAAATAAGTAAACCCCAAGGTAGAAAGGAAGTAAACAAGAAGGAGAACGAAACACAAAGATGAGGACAGGTTGTATAATAGTGATAAGGAACATAAATTTCCTCAATTTTATCCACAGGAAACACATAAATAGTTAGAAAAGATTCAATCATAGTTTATGCAAGGAAAGGCAGCAATTGCAAATGTAAACCTAAATTTCAACAATTTCTTCACAGAAAAGATGGAATTACGAAAGAATCTAAATATCTACATTTCTTCTGAAGCCATAAAGTTGAGGAATAATAATGAACTGGAAACCGTATAAGCTTGACAAGAATAAATCTCATTTTTTGTTTCTTCATGGAAGAGATGATCAAGATCAATAGCAGGAACATACAACAAATGGTTCCAATAAATGTCTAGATGGAGCTCATATGAGAAAGAAAGGCCAATCAGTTTAACTAACCTTCAAGTTCTTCAAAGTACTAGAGAGCTCTCGTTTCGCCATTGCAGCTTCAGGATTTCTGAAAGAGAAAGAGAACTAAAACTAACAACATGTGTTAATTGGGATTAGGGTTTCAGAAGCCAAAAGGGACCACGAGGGGTACAAGCAGCAACTGGTTCAACGAAAACCAGTAATTTTAGAGAGAAAAGAGTTGCGTTTTTTGGTTTTATAGGGTTTTGCAGGTTTGCTCATGAAGGCTTTTGTTGAATCTACTTTGGGCAAACAAAATAAAGCCTCACTTCAAATCCTATACGGAAAGCACAACCTGCAACGAAAATCCCCACGGAAATCCCCATGGCCGCTTTAAAATCAATTTTCAACACGGACATCAAATTCGAAACCTAAAAATTTACAGTAAATCTTTGGGCACTTATTTTTAGGAAAAGGTTTATATACAGCCGAGGTTCTAAACAATCAATTTAGAGGCCACCTAAAAAATTTCATTAGAAGAGGTTGTTTTGATGCCCAAATATCCTCAATTTGATTATCTCGACATCAAGATGTATGAGAAAAATGGATTTCAGGTTTTGAAATAGTGCATCTCATGCATCTTGACCATTAATTTTTAAGTTTTCATAAATTTAATCAGTGTTTAAAAACTCCTAGAGTCGAGTCAGACTCATCCGGTTCGACTCGAGAATCGTCTGCTACCGAGCCAGTTCCACGAAAAAACCGGGATTCGTCTGCTACCGAGCCGGTTCCACGAAAAAATCGGGAATCGTCTACTACCGAGCCGGTTCCACAAAAAAATCGGGAATCGTCTACTACCGAGCCGGTTCCACGAAAAAACCGAGAATCGTCTATTACCAAGCCGGTTCCACAAAAAAATTGGGAATCGCCCATGTCCAGAGAGAACCGGGCGATTCCCAATAGTGAATCGCGAGTCTCACTTAAATTTTTGGGTTTACACGTGTCCACCTCACGGGAGTAACACGTGGTAACTCACCTCACATGTCTTCCCCCTCGCTTTTCTACACGGGCATTGAAAAGATCTATTACAAAGGACTTTATAGATAACCAAGCGACACTCATCATTCGATGTGAGATAATTTCCACAAAAAATCATTAAAGCAAGATGTTTGAATATATAATATTATAGAATCAAATAAAATCACATGAGGCGATGTGGTTGTGTTGGTTGACAACATGGATTGTACGGTGGATGTTTAGGGTTCGAACCCCTTAGCGCACAACCAAAATATTACAACAAAAATTTTTTTTAGTGCACAACCAAAAACATTTTGTTGTCAAAAAAATAAACAAAGGCAGAAAATACAGTTGTAAAAAAATAGTAAAAATATAAAGCAAAAGGCTTTTCAAGATAAAGATAAAAAAAAAAATACAACATTTTTTTATTTTTCTTGTAAAAAAAATACAATTGTTATCAAAAAAATAAACAAAGGCAGAAAATACTGTTGTAAAAAAATAGAAAAAATATAAAATAAAAATCTTTATCTTTACAAAGGCAGAAAATACTGTTGTAAAAAAATAAAAAAAATATAAAATAAAAATCTTTTCAAGATAAAGATAAAAAAGATAATACAACAATTTTTTATTTTTCTTGTAAAAAAAATTCAAGGTAATATAACAAGTATTTCTTGTAAAAAAATAAAACAACAAGCATAAAAAAATAAAATGTACTTTAGCAGCATCATTTTTTTATTTTTCTTGTAAAATAAAATAAAAAGTAATACAACAAGCAAAAAAAAATGTAGTACAATATATTCTTCTTTTGTCAAAAAAAAACGAAGAAGAACATCAACAAGTATCATATTTTTCTTGTAAAAAAAAATAAAAGATAACACAATAAGTATTTCTTGTCAAAAAAATTAAATGGTATTTC